CGATAGGTCCATATGAACAGGATCCTTCCCTCTTTTTCTCGGACTGGGCCCTGTTCATATACGTTCTTGGCAGATGATCCGGAAGTGGTTTGCCATTGCCTTCTTCTGTGTGTGTGAATGGAGTAATTGTTGGGATGCCACGGAGGAAAACTCCGTGTTGCCTAGACCACGGCCTTGCCCAACACAAGTTATAAATTCGGGCACCGCCGGGAATCAAACCCGAGACCCCAGGATTACAAGGCCAGCGTTCTAACCGCTAGACCACCGTGGCTCTATACAGGATCATAAATACATAAATAAACCAAATACTAATATGAGCGGTTATGAACCTATGCAATCCAAAAATGCAGAAACACAGGCATCATTAAGTTCTTCCACCTTCTTAAGACAGTGGAACAGACAGAAATAAAATGGTCAGCTACCACATACATGTCTGTCGGTCAATGGTTCTCCAGTGAAGGGCTGTGATGCGGTGCATCTTGGCATCTAAATGTAGCAAAATCTGCGGCTGGAGGTCGTCCTTGTTCCTTCTGGCATCAACTGGATTGATTCGCCACACGACGACGTCTCCATTCAGCAGACCGACCACGAGCAAACCAAAGTCCTTGCTCCCACTGCTCATTAGATTACTCCACGTTACAGCTGAACAGAAAACAGAGCCAAAGTGGCAGGTATGAAGAATTCTAAACTGAGCATCTAGGTGAACGCTATATAGTGTGACCTACTGACAGCATCACTAAACAAACCATAAGTAAATTAATTAATGAGTAATTAGTCCAATTCCCAGTCGGACATTTGATATTTCCCCTCAGCACAGTGCATGGTCTTCATAAGTGACATGCCATTTTAAAAACGACTTGAGAAAAATATTCACACATTTACTGTGGGTGAATTAACAGGGAAAAGCAGTCAATCTTGCGCTTAATACCAGGGTGGCTGTAGTTTGTAAAGTGGCTAGTTGATTTCTGAAGCTGTGTCCTACATCTGAACCTAGATTGCCTACATTACAATATAAACATATTCAGACGAGCTGAAAATCTGGCACAAAATAATTGTTTTGTACATAAAACTTATCAGTCAAGACAAAAAACACAACTGACCAGTAGCTTTCAGTTGTTCTGCCCGTGACTGCAAGATAGATATACTCTCGCTAGCATCACCAGCATCGTCCCAATTCTGAGAACAATGCTCGGTCCACAGGGATGAGATGTCTGTCACGGTAAGCCACTGCTTTACCCGAGGAACATGAACGAGCACACACCCATAGTTTGTTACAGATGCCAGCAAGCACCTGTAAACATATATGCGTCATACTCCCCTCATGAAATGCAAAGGTTAATTAACACATACAGGAAAGACCACCACCAACACTTTCACATTTCGTTTCTCCAAGATTCATTTTGATATTATCTACTAACATACTCCTCTGTAAATAACGAAAATATTTCTGCATTTCTTGCCAATGTGTGGACTGACGAACTACATCAATAATAATGAAACAGAATAAAACAAATTAACAACAAATATTGCCCAAAGCATAAAGATTATGAAGTATCAAAGACGCCACCTGCCATACTGAAGCATGCCAGCAGGCGACCAAGCCACCTGAGTAATGTACGGGCGAACAGACTTTGTCGTGGCGAGGGTCGGAGCAAGGCAAGTGTCAAGGACTAGTCTGTATACATCCCGCTTATTCAGATTCCAGACAAGAGTGTCACAATCGATGCCTGAAACACAAAAGAACAAGCCCAAGATGCAATTTTAACTTATTTTACTTTCTTAGTCACCACAACTTTCAAGACAGGTAGTAGAATTACTGGTTCTATAATTTCCGAACACCTCAGTATACCGATGGAAGACTTTAAATCATACTTGCTGAATGTCATGGCTAAGCGGATGCCTATCCCGACCGACAGTTTCCATTATTTTCATCAGACCCCCTAGGCAAATGCAGCGATAGTACTTTGAATTAGGCTGTAACTGTTTCCTTCCATATCCTTTCAATATTCAAACCAAACCTGTTTCTGACGTTGGAAAATGGCTGCTCGGCTCGACCCAGCTTCGATAAAATTCCGATACTGGCTGCGCACTGTCAGGATCTGGTACTACCTCCTGCAATAAAACATAAGCCATTTAGGGGGACTTCACAGCCATACACTACATATAACTTCATACTTACCACCTGCATTAAAAGAATACTTCCTTCATTACCTTGAATGCATGTTTTAACTCTCTAGACTTCGTCACAAAAGTTTATTTTATTCTCAGCCCAAAGTAACTTTGTCCTTATAACAGAAACACATAAAAGATACTTTCTTCTTTAAAATAAATTAATGTTATTTACACTTTCCTAAATTATACACCAATCCACAAAATGATAAAGCACAGACCTATTATTGCTCTTTACACATTATATTTGTAAAGTACGGATGATACACAACAAATTTTAATACATATGTAATAAAACTTGTCTCAAACGGAACCTAAATTAGACTGAGAGCTGCCCTTTTTGTAAAATATCTCCGGTCATGATGAAGTATAAGAAAAACAATATACAATTACTTCAATAAATTAAAATTGCTCAAAGAATCAGCAATAAATGAAAACAGCACAAATATTCAGGTCCCTTTGTGATTCCAGTGAAAGCGGAATCTACTAAAGAGTAACATTCTGTTGCCTGATGGCAACTATCAGCTTTCCCTGGATGTCTAGTCTGAAGTTCTATACAACAAAGCAATCATTAATGATTAATGGCATGCATTATCCCCATTCCTTTAAGCAATGTTGTCATTAGAAAAAATGTCTGTTCTGAACGCTGAACAGGCCACAGTAGCCCATACACATTTAGTACAATGACCACTTCACTGAAAAAAAAAAAAAGTATGCACATTTGCCTTTTGTTTTTTTTAATTATTCCACAATCTTCTCTCACAATTCATTTCTTGTTCCTGAAAATTTTATTGAACCAGCTCGTACCACAACCCATAACAGGATATTACTCACAGTAACAACCTCATAATTTAATATTATTATATGCTTAATAATTTATTAATAGCTTTAATCATTAACTGTTCACTGTTAAACAAATAATCAGACAAGTATCAGAAAATAAATAATAAATATATCACTTCAAATCTGAAGCCAGACTGATTTTATTTTTTACTTAATTACGTTCCTTCTCACTGAAGAGGTGCGCTGCAGAAATTAAACCTTTAAAGCCCACCCACTTCAACAATCTTCTTGTACCAACCAACCATGCAAATACTAAATCAGCAACTTCTCGAACGTAAATCTACAAAACGCCAACCCGCCTTGAACAGTAGAAAACCAGACAACACATACAGAAACTCATGGACAGACATTAAGGTTAAAAATGCACATTCACTGAACAGCAGCACAATTACGTAAACAAATCTGTATGTTAGTAAAGTCAAATGTATCATTCTGAAGTCGTATAATAAAGCAACTTGAATCAATTATACAACCAAATAAAATAATCAAAGAACCAAGAATTAAATGATTACTTCAACTATCTCATCCGTTTCCAGAATATTATTTTTGAACTGCTATGAAAAGTTTCAATATTCCACAAAGAAACAGATATTAAACTCAAACCTTAAAAAGTGTAAAAATTAATAAATATAATATGCAACCAGAACAAGACTTTTCACTCATATTAACTTCTATCACAAATAAAAATGCAGTACGGCCTAGAACAATTTTCTGATGGGTCACAGTCACAGAAACAACAGTTCACATAGCGTCAAAATGGAACCGATGGGCTTCCTGCAGCTTCTCGAGTCGGTCCTCATTCCTTTCCTTCAAGTACAGAGCGGCGATGATCAGCGTGATGATGACGCAAGTTCCACTAAGAGCAACAACACTCAACAAAATCGTACTGCTCGGCGTGATAAACAGCTGAGCACGCCACTTACTTGTCTGGTCTGGGGGAGAGGGGATTACTACCATCTGCGAGTTTGGAATTATCTGCGTCCAAGCTTTTGACCTTCCGGCTATCCCCACTGTCAGCGTGTCAACAAAATTAGGGGTACGACCAAGACCAAATATGGTGTACGGTAGACCAAGAGAGAAGTGGGCAGACTGCGGTAACTGAGCTGTTACCGCAGCACGTGGGTCTCCTTCCTGCGTCGTCGTTCTGTACGAAATGCTGGGACCCGGCAAGTTCCCACCTCGATCTGTGCCTGTCAGAACCATGACTTTCACGAAGTTGGCATCGTAGTCCAAAGTGTTTCTAAATGCTTGAACTTTATCTTGACCATACAGAATCACATCCAAAATCCCATCCTGATATAAGTCATAAAATGCAGCCATCGTTGTTTCGTTGTTCATCGGTACAAGAGGGTCCCCACGAATGGCATACGTTCTGCCAAGACTTCCAGACAAATTCTCTACATTCTCCAACAGGAACACTTTAGAATGTGAATTCTTCACAGATAAAGTAGCCAGAATGTCAGGATACCCATCCATATTAAAATCTCCCCCTCGAAGAGTGACTGCGTCTGTGTAAGGGCGGCTGCTGCACCTGTAGAAACCCCAGACCTGATTCGCGCCATCTTTCAAGACTGGGTTCAGATTGTGCCATTTCTCTTTCACATAAGCAAAGAGTGTGCTGTTTCTGCATGGGACACAGTCTTTAAAGCCATCAAAACATACTGGGAGTAGGTGGTACATCTCTCCAGTTAGCTCCAGGTCCAGAAAGAGGGACTGGCCCATCTGTTCTGTGGTGAGTCCAACAGGTGGTTGTATGATTCTGTCAAAGGTCAATTTCCCATTCTTGTTACCTAGCCATAGCTCAAAACCAACCTTCGTTGACAGCAACAGATCAGCAGTAAAATCCCCATTCAGGTCCAAAAATGAATGTGAATGTGGAACTCTCAGGGGTTCCACCTTCAGAATCTCAGGCTCTATCATAGGGACCACCTGGGGTGACACAGTTCTGTTTTCATTAAACACCAAAAACATTCTGTTTCCATCAACATCTTCACCAAATAAATCCACTATCATGTCATGATTGTAATCAAGCACCACTGGCTGGTTTCTCATTCTGTAAATGACTGTCTCATTGCTGCAGATGAGGTAGTTCAAGCCTCCCCACAAGATAAAAATCTGCGTGAGACTATTGTGGACATCCGTCTCCAAGGCTGTTACCAGAACATCAAGACGTGCATCACCATCAAAGTTTCCAGGAACAATGCTCGTTATATGCATTTTTGAAAACAGGCAACTCAAGCTCTGTCCAGACTGGAACAATGGTTCCTGTACTCTTGCCAGCATAACCTCTAGGGTATTGGGTTTGCCATAAACCACAAACAAATCTGTCAGCTCATCAGAATTGAAGTCTCCAAAAGCAGCTGGCATTACATCTGTGGCTGATCCAAAGACGCTACTTGTAATGTTGCCTCCAGCCGCTAGAGGAACAATGCTCAGCAGAACAGAAACCCACAAGCAAAGTGCTGCATCCTTAAGGATTCCTTTGAAGAAAGACAACCTAGTCCCACGCTTTCTTATTTCTTTACTTCTTTTACCAGCATCAGCCTGTCAATAGAAAGGAAAATCCAATTACTTCCAGTTTTGTTGACACTTCAGGCTAACTGGCTGTGATATTTCTGAATCTAAATGTAGACAACTAATTCAGAAGTTTATACCAAAGGGGGTGGAGAAAAGAAAAACACTTGGAAGATGTCAGGATGCCCACTTTCCATTAAATACTTAAATTGATATAACGAGGCTGACAAGAAGTGTAGATTAATGATCACACCATTTCATGATTCATTCATATGCATAATTTCACCAATACAGATTTCATCTATGTTAACAGTTGTTTGATTCACACCACCGCCATGTTTGTACGTTTTAACATACACAAAAAACATTCCACCCAGAAGACAAATAGGTAAGTTTATGATCTCCCCTGTCCACCTATAATACATATTTTCATATTAAAAAATAAATTGTTACACATAAAATTTGCTATAATTAATGGTAAGAATAGAAAAAAATAGAAAAGTGAGGTAGCCTCCAACAGCATGATTTTCATAAAATATTCATGATCAAGCACTCAAAATTTGTAGATGGCACTAACAATTTTTCAACATGTACCCAGTGTAACATGAAAGTAACTTTGCCTGATATCATCAGATCCGCAGAAAGAGACGTTACAAACAATCCTCTGACAGCATTAGTTTCATTTCCTTCACACCAGGTGGGCGTGCAATGCTCAATGCTACATAACCTCTGCAGTTAAATATGTTACATGTAATAAATTAACCAAAGACTTATTTGTAACAGTAAATTACAAAAAGCGAATAAAAGGTTGTTCCATAGTATTTCAGCATAATGCAGGATGAATTACAAACCAGTCTTGTAAACAGTAGGTCATAATTATACCAAACAATTTCTCAATGTCTTGTTTCAGGATATCATACAAACAATATTTTAAACACAACTGAATCTTTTTTATTTCAGACACATAACACATATAACAGTTAGAATACTTCCATTGTTTTATAAAGAATCAGTAGAACCAATTAATTTCTATGTAAGATTTGAGGTTTTCACAGCGGTGAGTATGAAGATTTCTACATTGAAGAAAGATAAAACATCATTGCCACAAGACCTTCTACACTTTACTTACCACCACACAGTAAAACATGCACATTGTATAGATGATATAGATATATTATATATAAAAAAAAGGCATAAGATAGGAGGATAAGACATGAAAATATCAGCAAGAACAATATGAGCAGGAGAACTAGTGGACAAGCACTAATAGTCAGAGTACCTGATGCGCCCCTAAACCCACTCCTACTATTAGTACTATTAAAAGTGTAGACCAAATCCCTAACAAAATATAAACAAAAATTGACAGTGGAACCACGGTTCCGAAGAATTTGACATAAATACGTCTCTCTATTTAATTTATATTTATGTCTCAGTAATGTAATGTAAAGTAGTAAAATGTAATGTTATCTTCAATGTCATACATCTTGTTATGAAAGCGGATTGTAGACGGCAGTAATATAACACAACAATGCCGAGTAAACAGATGACATTTCCTAGGCAACATAACAATGCACGCAAGCTAACAACTGTCGATTTGTTGATACGGATCTTACATATTTTTCTTACACTTTTTTGCGGAATGACACTGACCCTTCCATATAGACGTATTTACGTCAAAAATATTTATACCACATGCAGTGTACACTGTTCTCAACAACCATTTTAATACATTCTACACTTCATATTGTTTAACAGATGTTCCCCAAAACCGCAGTAAACTTTCCAGGCACAATACTTCATTCTGTATCAAATGGTACTGTGTAATAAAATTAACAAGTTCTCAAATGACTGCTATCAGCAAGATGAAATTTAGGCCTCAAATGTATTTGACCCTGTAAATATTTTACAAGTTATACCAATATTAAAAGAATTACCTATTTCTAAAACCACTGTTGCCATGTTTTGTAACAGTAGCACAAACAAGAAAGCCTTGGTTCATGATCGATTACAATGAATAATGTAATAACAATACAGTCAGAAAAAAATTACTACATATAAACCCATGTAGCTTTCAATGCAAACCTGAACTTAATCCAAAGTGCCACTAAGTTTAAGAACCCAGGCCCTATACCATGACAAAATCAAATCACATCATCACGTGACAGCTTACCACAATGTATAATCCCTTTTCAGTGATAATTGATATTTTGTCATCATCAGACCACGAGGCAGCAAATGATGCAGCTACTGCAGGCGACAGTGCCACACTGTGGATCTCTTTCAGCTCCATGACTATTATCTTGGGTAAAGAACCCACTTACTATCCAAAATTATGCTCCACCACAAACTGATAAGAAAATAAAGCCATTATATTTACCTGGGTTATTCTATATCTTGTATGCAGCAAATATAAGTCATGCTATATTTGTGAAATAGCTCACACGTTACGAATAACCTCTACAAAGAAAATCATATTTAGATATACGAAAACAGCAGTCTGAATGATAATTTACAATTGTGTAACTTTGATCTTCACAAAAATAATTTATTCACACATCAATTACTTATTTTTCCAGTCCGGTTTGGCTCGATAAATCATAACTTACGCGACGCGGCCGGCAGCCGTCCATAAAATACAAATTCAGAGATACGTTACAGAAATCATGATAATTACACCAACATATTCCACATGGTGCAGACCTGATTTCAGAGGCATAACCAACGCAAAGTAAAGCTTATTCCCATCTCCAATTTGACATTCGGTACAAAATAATTTCAAACAAGGTTTATCTGACGATACTTACGAACAGTAATAATAACTCACTCGTTATGACACTTGTATTCAATTACAATCAGTCAATAACAACACAATCGATCATTCAACACCAACCAAACAACCCCAAACAAAAAGCTAAGGGCGGAGACCTGCGCAAGCGCAAGATATCGTGCCCTTCTTGAATTATAACCTGGCATTTGCCTTATAACTGAGGAAAAGCACGGAAAACCTGTCATGGGAACATTCAACAACCTTACAAAAAGAAATATATACGCAAGGCTGCCAACAACCACAAATCATTTTCCCAGCATGTCAATGATTCAGAAACATCTGGTAAACGGTTTTCGCAAGACAAAAAACGAAAAAACCCAACTAATTTATTCGAGAGTTCCACCTAACTTCAAACATATCAAAATCTCCACGACCAAGACGTCCCCTGGAGAAATCTCAAAGCATAATTCACAGAACACTGTTTGAAGCGATGTGTACCTGTTTTGTCACATTAAACATGTCATACATAACCTGAAGTTACTTTCAAGATTTAGACTAATTAATGTTCCGACGTTACACAAACTGTTCATACCACCTCATTCCTGGCCTTACGTAACCCGATTTCCTTTGTTATACTTAATGAAAATGGGAACTTTTAATCCATAACTGCCATGACAAGACAAAACAGGATTCCCCTGCCTTCATCTTCATGCTTGAGAGCTTTAATGTGGCTCCACTTAACATTTAATTTTTGAGAAATTAATGACAAAAAGAGTTATTCATATTACTTTTTTACTTTGGTTGTTAGAAAATATGAGTTTTAGATTTTTCTAAACTAAACTTCCAAATTTCATGTAACCTCATTAGGCTGAACCAATAATTACAAAATTCATTGGCAGTTTTTATGCAGACTCCAAATGCCAGATTTAGCAGAAATCCTTTTGTCAATTCTGGGTACACAACATATTGCTAGATGAGCAAGGATAACCTCAAAATTAGAAGGTTCTGGGTTCAATCCCTCACAGACTGAAGCCTTCACTTCTGCCAAACACAAAACTCTGGGGAACTGAAGTACACCAAGCCGACAATGTTGCACAGAGCTCACACTAGTTTGACGTTCCCTTCTGCTGACCATCATCTTCATAATCACACTATCAACAGGATAAAGGAGCATCCACTATGGGTGCCCCAGCCACAGTAACACATTCTAGACTTCCCTAAGGTTGGCTAAGGTCAAGAAAGGTCATCTCAGATCATCCCTGGGGATATTAGAACCCAACCATTTATATGTAAATAAATATGCTTTGTAGCAATGACATACTATAGCTGGTTATGATTTCTTCAGTCTTCCCTTATACATTTTATGTAATGCACACACAAAATTCATAAACAATAATAGCAGAGTTTATCTGGAAATATATGTGGTATAATCAGGCATAAGACTGCAACACATCAAATTAAATTACATACAAAGTCTGGCTATATTTAAACACTTCCAGAATCATATAAATTACCATTCATCTATTTGTCCAACATTTATAAATCCATAGTGTAAAATGGTGTGATATTTATGTCTGCGTTTTGAATTAATTTATATTTCATGAGCAAACTCACACCGACCAGTGAAATGTAACCTCAACTGACTCTGTCAAAACTTCCCTTCACATGACACAGGCATCTGACTAGTACCATCTGGTTGAATATAAATCTGTGCCCCTTCAGAAGATAAATTCCAATGTGGAATGTGACCCATTTTGAAATTCTTGAAGACATCTGATTTTATAATAAGACTGCCCACAATAATATGAAATTTTTACTTCTGCTAAATAAAGAAAGTGTGTGAACCATTACAGCAAGGCAGAAAATTATTTTAATAAAAAAATGTATATGACCTATCTGCCTCGATAAAAGCAAAACGTAAGCCAACACGTGACCTGCTGGACACAAAAGCAATCCGTTGCACGCCCATTCTCCCGATGTCAAAAGAATAGGATTTTACCAGTAACTAGAAAATATTAATAAAATGCTAAAAAAAGAAAAAGAAAAGATGTGGCCAAAATGCACTGTTTCAAAAGTTTTCAAATGTGCTGTTCACACTTCTAACCAGCCAAAGAATTTTAGAACAAGTCACATCTAAAAGTCATTTGTACAAACATGTTGCTTGTGGCTTTGCTCATTCAAAGATAATTTCAAGCTGCTTTTAAATGTTGTTCACCCACGTGTATACAAATATAATTGTTCAGGTTTTTATTCCATGAGGAAAATTCCTCCACGTGTGACATCTCAAAGTTGTTTCATCTAGGAATCTTAAAAATTGTGATGTATCTGAATAAGCTTTCCCACACACAAAACATTTTAAAAATTTTCCTCCTGTGCATATGCATATGATCCTTGATGATGTAAAATACTGCAATATTCCCCACATCCTTGAGGCAGTCTGTTAGGTTGTGATGTTTCAGATATTAAAACTGTAAGAATGCATGCCCACATGAGCACACTTACCTGAGGGTTTCTTGTGTCTGATGATTTAGTCTTCTTGTCTCCAAAAACGATTTTCCACATTTGTTTCATTTTAATGGTTTTTCCCCCATGTGTGTCCGAACGTGATACTTCAGGTTCCAACTCAGCGAAAACAATTTACCACATATGTCACATTTGAATGGTTTTTCCCCTGTGTGAGTAAATGCATGATGTTTCAGGCTTCCATTATT